TTGATCTGGGGTGCTGTTGGACAGATCATGTGTGTTGTGATTCATTGACAGCCATACCTTCCACTGTTCAAGATAATGATGACTGGTAGATAATTACTGTAGTTATTAGCGGTACTGCATTTTAATTTTAGAAAGTGCAAATCTGCTTATGAATTATAAAAATGAGTAAAAGCACAAGTAAAAGCAAATTACCTTTTATCATTCTTTTAAACAAATTAATTGAGCCAGCATTTTTATAATCACTTTCCAGATTATTCCACCATCTTATTCCTTGGACTGAAGTACATCTGTTCTTCAAATTTGTTCAAATTTTAGGTTTTACAAACATCTCTAGTACCTTAATATTATAATAACTAAGAAAGTTATAACTCAGTAAGTACTGGTATCGGTACTCGGTATCGGCGGGTACCCATTGTGAAGAAATTGTACTTGTACTCTGTTTAAGAAAAACTGGTATTGTTGCATCGCTAATTATAGGTGACGGTTATAACTAGCATTAGTTAATATTATCATAAATGCAATCGTGATTAATTGTCACATGTAACTGATAGTGATTAATTTGATGATTAATAGATGACAACTGAACTTATATCATCCAATGTTGTGGCCTTGGTCTTCGTTTTCTGACTTTCTTTGCACTTTGGTTTAAGTCTGTGTTTCAGGTGATTAAACAAGTCTGTAGGGTTAGGGTTAGCTGCTCCACTGAGCCTTCCACCATTGAGCCCACAAATGCACCTGATAGTGATAGTATCTACACATAAATGCATCATCAAATGACACTAATTGCATTAATTGAAAAAGTGGAAAATATTAATTGCTGACAGATTTGCTAACATTTAAATGCACATGATACGATTTTGCCCAACATTGGTTGAAACACAGCTGGAGCAGTTACTCAAGAGCCTCACCTATCAGCTTAGCTCCATGATGGACTGGTACAAAATCCTCATTACTGCAGGCAGTTTGAATAAATATTTATTTTGAAATGAAATAAACTTGAAACTCTTAAAATCTGACAGCCAAACAGAGTAGTCAGTAATGAGTCACCAACACATGTGTGGAAAAGTCTTGATTTTGAGATGCATTGTGATGCAGCAACCCATTCTCACTCCCATGTCGTCACATATTGACGCTTTTCCAAGGTTCCCTCTACGTCCGATTTTGACGCGCCGGGTACCCCCGTCACGTCAGTTACTGACGAGATGGGGCGAAATCTGTTGTCATATTTTCAGAAAGTGTAGAAAATGCGCAAAAACTACCGTTCCAAAGCCTGACATTACCTTTGTTCACTTTAGACATCCTGTCCCTGACCCTAGTACCTAAAATTAACCATTTTTAGAAAATGTAGGAAATTCACGTAAACATGTTCCAAAGCCTGAAATTACCTAATATTCACCATGGACATCCTACCCCTGATCCCAGTACCTAAACTTAACCATTAATCCTGATCCCTCATGTTAACCTCAGACCCCCGACCCAAAGACCCCTGGTGGCGCAACCCGGAAAAGCCGCGGGCAGCAAGGACTGACGCGAGGGGGTCACCTGATGCGTCAAAATAAGACGCAGAGGGAACTTTGGAAAAGCGTCAATATGTGACGAGTCGGGAGTGAGAATGTGTTAGATGCAGACATAAACAACTCAAATTGATGTAGTGAGAGAATGCAGTCAGGAGTTTGTAGCCCACACCAAATAATGGCATACACTTGCTGTTTGTTCATTTTCTAGCTTTAGATCAACAAAGTTCACCTGTAATAAAATGCTCAAGAAGGACAAAAGTTGAGACATAATTTTTTTTTTCTTTGAGTTAACTTTCTTTTGAAAAATCAAACAGTATAATTCAAAGTCTTATTTTGTGAAACAAGCATTTGCATTCTTGGTACAAATCGGTTTGATTGGCTGACAGTCAGAGTCTGAAAGCCAGAACATGTTGACAGAACAAGTAAAGTATTAACTTTTTCATGGGAATGTAAAACAATTGAGAATATTGTCTCAGTTTGCCATTATAGTTTGGAGTTATTCAGGAGTTATTTTGGAGTTATTCATTATTAAGGCTGTATTTAAAAACTTTAAAGCCTCTAAAGTTGTAATATGAAAAGAAAATCAGGATATTGATCTGTAATTTAATGTTAATTAAATTTCATATTTATAGAAAACTGATCTTTGAAGGTAAGTTCTTTTTTTGTTTTATATCATGTTATAATGTCATTCCCTCAATAAACGTTATCGTAAAAATAACTAATTGTATCAGCCTAGAGATGTGTATGTTTATATGTTTTATAGGTACTGCACATAATAATGAATCAAAACAATTTGCATAATTGTAATAATTACAATTTAATAAAACATCATTACTCTTCATGTATTGTGTTATTTTGCTGGTATCCTGGATGGGTGTTTTAGGTTGAATGTGAGCGATGGTGTCATCAGTCAGTACAGGACAGTGAGGGGAAACTGGTGAAGAAGTTTGTAATCAGTTAGCAGAGGAAAAATCTTTTTTTTTTCATCACATGCCCCTTTGTGAATATGCTGCATGTAAAAACTTATTAAAGGAAGCAAAGAAAAGACATTTCTGAAAAAAAAAAGATGTCTGTTCGAGAGTGCACAATATTTGTGTCTCGTATACTTTCGAGTTACACATAAACATGACTTTGATCCTGGATAGCACAAATTTCTAAGAAGTTAGATTTAAACACTTGTAATTTAAGAGATGTATTTTTTAGATTTTTTACTCATTTAATTTCTCTGTTCTTTAAAGCATTGTCAACTCTGGTGGTTTGTATAAATAAGTCTTTCTGAAATAACATTTAGAGCTGTTGTTTTTATGTTCAACTTCAACATTAACATCACCATTTGTCCTCTACACGCAAAAGCCTCTCCCTCGTGGTTTAACCTTTGACTGGAATGTTTATCACATATTCAGGCAGGATTCTATTTTCAATATATCAGGACATCATAATCCCAGACAGGGCATCCGGGGGATGCTCAGAAAGGCGGATTTAACGGTCACATGGCTGAGTGAAAAAGAGGCACTGAGATTGAGAGTGGAAAAGCCTAGATCAAGAGAGAAAAAAGAGATAATATATTTGTCTACAAGCTACATTTTCTTAAGATGCTGTCTAAAACAAACGTGCGCAAACCCACAAGCAAATCCTATTCCACAAAAACAGGAGGGAGTGGTGTTTGATAGAATCGTGGATCGGTTTATTTTGCTGGTTGGATCATGTCAAAGACAACTTCTCAGTGGTGGAAACACTTAAATCCACATTGTTAAATGCTCATTATGTGCTGATTGTTTGGATCATTTAAATTCTTAGAAACAATCATACAGAAATTTCTCACTTCTAAGAGACATCTTGATGCACATATGCAAAAAGACCTATCAAATACAAGAAGTTTATATCTAATTATAGAGAATTGCCTTTTTTTCAGCCATTAAGACTAAAAGTTTGAGCTCCAAACTTTGTTTTACAAACACAGATGAAGTTACATTTTAAATCCAAACTAAAATCAGGTAAAGAGCTCAGTGTGTAAAGATTCTCAACTGTCTCTTTGCAGTTCCAAGGAGAAATGGGAAGTGCTCTGCATTCTTTTGATCTTTAAGTCCAACAAAGGATAAATTGTGCTCAACAAACAGGGTCATATAAGAGAACAATGGGCCTTTTGTACTTCAACTTTGTCACATTACTTAACATCAGAAAGTCAAGATCAGAATAAAATTGGCATTTCTGACCAATGCTTAGTTCAAAACACTACAATCCAGTTATGACTTAGTGAAAAGAGGATTCTGACCTGCAATTCACTAATGAACATTATGAACATTGAAGAAGAGTTGAAAGTGTACTGTTTATTCTCTATAATGATTCATTAGAGTTGGTTAGACGCAACATACCCCAAAATACACTGAATCAAACCAGTGGTTTGTGGCCTTCAGTGATGTCTGATTTACACAGCCACACAATAATTTGATTGCCATTGAGATGCATCTAGTTTCTATTGTAGTCAATAAATAATTTGAAAGGTAACTAGTATATGTTGTAGACCAAGACTAACTAGATCAGTGTTCCCCAAAGTTGGGGTAGGGACCCACAGTGGGGTCCTGGAACATCAAGGTGGGGTCCTGGAAATATTTTCTGAATTAATTACACTAAAAAATGACAACTTACAACATTTTTTGCCTTTGTTGTTACAAATTAATAACATTAGTGTACTTAAAATGGACAAAAATAGCGTAATAAATAATGTTACTATGCTTGTTTATTTGACGTGAAAACAATGTTCATCAGCCATCAACAGCTGGGGGCACAGGTCACCTTTTGTAGGTCAAAACTTTAAAGCTTTGGGAACCACTGATCTAAATTATTATAAATAATTCTAAATAACCAGATATTATGGTGCTGAATTTAAATTGTGTCAACTAATAGAAACACAGCTACTAAAAGCCCTAACTTTAAATCATACAAAGAGTAGAAAAAAATAAGAAAAATATGCACTAATAAATAATTTGAAAAAAATAAACACTAAATTGGCAGTAACTGTCGCCTATTTTAAAAAACTTCATGCTAACAGTGTTTTATTTTTGATAGTTTTACTTTTTAACACCTAGTTTTCTAAAATATTTTAACTGCAAAAATACCACTGCCTGACCCTATTCCAATCAAACTGAAATCACACACTCGCACACACACACACACACACCCACACACATACACCCACACACACACACACCCACACA